TGTGTTCTTCCTGTTGATTCATGTCGATTTACGGCGAGTCTCGAAGCGGAGGCCTCTGGAAAACAATGGCAGCTTTGGACAGCGTTTTTCCAGGAAATTACTCTTGGAAATCAACTTTGAACGCGCCATTACAGGTTAGTATCTGTAAACGTCGAAGGATTGAGACGAAATGACACAAGGAGTGAATATAATATAAAATTGGCGCCTTTCATTTTTCGAGAGGTCCATCAAATGAAGATCAAAGCTATTTATCGAAACTCTGGCAACGACAGAAAACTGCAGATTTTTAATCACGAAATTCGGGAATTTCAACTTGGCGGTCAGTACAGTAATCATGCACATCACACTATTTGTTGTGTGCATTTTCCCGTAGTTGTGTTCGCAACAAAAGCGTTTTATTCTCCGACATTGGCCTAAAATCCACATTCACGACATTGAAACCTGTAATAAAAGGATCCTTTCGCCGTCAATTTTGACTTATTTCATCTCGTTTTCTGTAAGAGGTATCAAAAAAGTTAATCGACAAAATATATATGTGAAGTTATGTTGCTCGTTTTGTCAGTCGAACACTTTTCGATTCCCTTTACAAAAAAGAATTGACTCTATGTTGATAGTTAAGGGTATCTTCAATTATTTACAGGTTTCTCGTAAATTTTCATGTTTCTGTTTGGGTAGAAATATCGATTGATACAAGCCTGGTTGCATCATGAACTCTCAAAATTCACACCGAGGATGGTCGCTGTTGAAATACAAGGAAATTAAGCGCAGTGGGCGTGAAGTAGTAAGAAAGAGATTATAAACACACAAGTAATAATTATATTTTGCAGTACAATGATGTGCGGGTGTTGCTTGATGAACCTAAAAGAATTCTTACAGTGTTTCGAGGAATGGAAGAACTTGAACGCATTTATTGTAATATGGAAGTTTCAAAGTTTCCTTGCTTGAAGTAAGTAAATGGCTAATATTAAATAAACATTTGTTTTCAGAATGAAAGGCCCACAGCTTTATGTAATGGTTAACGCCCAGTCTCAAGGTTTCCGGCTGACATTTCGCGATAAAGATAGAAATCAGTTCATGTCAACTATTCGGAGAATTGCATATATTTCCGAAACTCCAGAGAAGAATCATCTGAATAAAACCTTCACGAACACAGGTACTACTTAGTTGCTAACGTCGCCCGGCCACGCGATCGTATCCACACACCAGGGGGCATTTCCCGTATTTTGTTCACGATTAACCCCGATTACTGTACTCTGACAAAAACCACTAGGTTCTGGAGTGAACTCGAACCAACGACAGTTGTTTCAAATTCATCCCTGTTAACCACTAGGCTAATCGGGAGCACGTTAGATGAAGTTTCGATGGTTATTATATACTTCACGTTTTTAAAATTAAAAATTAACTTTTTCTTTTTTTTTCGGAATTTCTGATTGTAAATTCAAATGATTCTTGGGGTAGTTTTTGGAGTTTCCGAAACTGGAAAAACCTCACCAAGTGTTCGGAAAAAAGAAGGGGAAATTGCTTTTTCTGAATAGGTATTTCACCGGGATTTTTTAATACTTTTAAAGGCTAATTTGAAAATAAATAAAAATTATTGGGATAGTTTTTAGGCTATTCTAAACTGGAAAAACATAGCTTTCATGAATTTGTAAGAATATTCCGGAATCGGTTGAGAGACACATGTTCTATGAACATTCAAAAATGTTCTTATAAAATTGGGAATCGAAAACAGAAAACAAACTTCAAGTATTACCAGAAAAAGGAATTTTTTTGCATGGATATTCAGAATTTTCTAGGGACTTTTTCCACATTTTGTAAATGTCTTTTCAAGCTCTAAGCATACTTTTTAACAGCTGAAGTAACTTATAATTTGACTTTCAGATGGCTTTGTTTTTAGGTATACATTAATTTCGGGTTCTAAGCTCACTTTTTAAGGAATGAGCCTACTTTTATTTCCGTAAAACCTGTACTAGAAGAACCGGCCCTTCTATTGTTCCAAGGTACCTCCAGAGGGCCCTTCTACTACAAGGACCGGGGGGGGGGGGGCGCCACCCAAATTTTCGAATGTTGAGCTATTTTTTGGTCGTTATTATAGAGAATGAAAAGGCGGTTCTTTCAAAGCCTGAAAAACAAAAACCTGAAAATTCTGCAAAAATACTAGTGAAAAAAGTACTTTTGTTCCACAAAAATAGGCGAAATTCTCGCTTTTTTCAACGAAAATTTTCAACATTTCTTGTGTTTCTGTTCAAATTTAAGGCGTAGGCCAAAACTCCTTGCCACGAAAAAGGCATTTTAGCCTAAGCCTGAAAAATAAAACAAAAGTCGCAATATTCTGAAAAAATTTTAGTTGAAAAGTAGTGAAATTCCCAAAATCAGCAAATTTTCCACTTTTTCCACTTGGCAGGAGGGGTTTTATTTTCGATTTTTCGGACTTTTTTCTCCCTTCCAAATATCCGATGCCTCGACCGAGGATCGAACTCGGGTCGATCGTTTCACACACCGGCGTGTAAACCAGTGCGCTATTCGATCGACAAAATTTCTAGTTGTTTTTGATATTACTCTCGTCCGAAATCAATGCACGTTGCGGCCGAAAATTTCCTCAAAATCGCATCGCCGGTCGCATAGCGAAAGCAACAAATTGATGCATGCGCCTTCAAATACCGTACCTCGGACGTTTTTTATTTTGGGCCCTACTGTCTATTCAATAAAACGTGGGCGCGCCGCAGGTTGCAAAGTGACACGCCCCTTTATGAAACGCGTTCATTTTTTTTCTTCTCTCACACGTTTCATAAAGGGGCGTGTCACTTGCGGCGCGCCCACGTTCTATTGAATAGACAGTATTTGGCTGTTTTTTTTCTATTTTATAAGAAAAATAAATTGAAGATTTATAAGAATTACACAAAATTAGACAGTAACAAGCAAAAAAATAAGAGAAAAAGGCAGAAATTCAATAAATATTGAGGTACTGTATTAAAGGCGCGTGCAATAATTTGAAAAATACAGTAGTGTTCTCTCTGTGGGAGCTAAGCCCCGCCCACCGTTGTTTTCTCGGCCGCAACGTGCATCTATTTCGGACAAGAGTAATATATAAATAACTTCTTATTATCGTCACGTGAAAATGCGAATAATCGTTTTTCTTTTTCGAAATTTTGATAACGGTGAATAAATTTGATAGTTGTAAATACTTAATGGTTCCTTATATTGGTGGATCTTCTCAGTCAAAAAATCTGAATTTCGTAACTCCAATTCAAGGATTTTCGGAACGGATTTCGAGATTCCAAAAATTCCGAATATTTCGGGAATGAAATTCCGGTTAGAATATTTCCGAAAGAATTTTTCGAAATGAAATTCCGACCGGAATATTTCCGAAGCTTTGTTTTCGAAAATAGAGATTTTTGGACTACGGTATGTCGCGAAAAGATTGCTTGCGGGCAGAATTCCTTCAATTTTTTGCGTTTTCAAAGTCTTTTTGTCTATTTCACAGCTTTTTTGGTGTTCTTATGGTGAAAAAATATAATTTCTACTTTAACATTGGAACTTTCGAGAATTCCGAAATTCCGAACATTTAAAAATCGGAATACCATATTTACTCTAATCTGGGCCGGAAGGCCGCGGCTTTTATTTTTGGGAGCGACAACGCGGCCGTAAAGCCGGCCTCGGCCGGCCGGCCGTGCGGGGCCGAGGGAAACTTTATTCGAAATGAAAAAGGTCACCAGAACATGGAAAATCGGTTAAAAATAGTAATTTTTCAAAAGGGAGTAACTAACATGAAAAAAATTATTTTTGGGACCCATGGGAACAATAGATAGACAATTGAATAGAAGTCATAATTTGTAAATTTTGAATTTTTCCATTCTTTTTCCATCATTCATATTTTCGAAATTACTTGTCAAAACTCTGCTCAAATTCAGAAAGAAAAATTAATGTGTTTGTTGAAAACTCATAGTTCCGTCTTAATTTGTTTGAACGACGGCCGGCCGAGGCCGGGGACGTATCAAAAAAAGTTTTTCAGCGCGGCCGGCCGGCCAAGCCGTGAAGGAGGCCAGCCGCGGCCGGCCGTTTGACAGCCCTGCCTCTAATAGAAGCCCACCTTCTAACAGAAATTTGTGCAGCTTACAAGGGAAGTACCCGAAGTGTCCCCTCGATTTTTGTTAGATATTGGTGGCAAAAAATGTTACTTTCATGGACTAGCACAAAATGGATAATATAAGGTGCCCATAGGCAGGTTGAGCAGAATGGCAAAACTTTTTGTGTTTTTTTCAGAAATAGTGGATCAAGTTCATTCAAAAAAGCATAACTTTGTTCAGAGCAAAGATAAAATTATAAAATAACATGTTTCTTGTAGAACAGATTACAGGCTACAAAAGACATAACTACACCTTTATCTTTGAAAAGAAACTTTCTAGGAAGGGAAATGTCCAAATGGTCCGATAATATGAAATCAAAAAATGCCGATTTTCGAAAAAAAAACCTTCGGGAGACTATGTCTATTCAATTCCTTTCATGTCATAATGCACAACTGTGATTTCAAATGTATAGTGTACCGTTCATTTAAGAGAGATTTTTGAAAAAATAATATTTTTTTAAATCAATTCTTTTTTTAACTCAATTTTTTTTAAACTCAACGAAACTGAACCAATTGAATCTTTCATTCTCAGAGCTTTTATGTTGTATGTGGAAGTTAAGGTGTAGTTATGTTTTTTGTAGACTGTAATCTGTTCTACAAGAAATATGTTAGTTTACAATTTTATCTTTGCTCTGAACAAAGTTATGATTTTTGGATGAATTTGATCCACTATTTCTGAAAAAGTTTCAAAAAAAGTTTTTTTATTTTTTTGCCTATTTTTTACCTGCCTATTGGCACCTTATATTATCTTTTTTGTGCTAGTCCGAGGAAGGGACATTTTTTGCCACCAATATCTAACAAAAATCGAGGGGACACTTCGGGTACTTCCCTTGTCAGTTAGTGCAGTTTGTACAGTGCAGCTCGTTTATTTGGTTATTGCAGTGTTTCTTTCTGTTCATAAAATTTTCTGGAGATTTCTGTTTTTGGTATTTCCCTGAGAAGGAGGTTGAAAAATAGAAGCCCATGGGCTTCAATTAGAGAAAATACGGTATGTTGAAATGCCGATATTCCGAAAATCGAAAAATTCCGAAAATCCGAAATTTTCAAAATCAGAAAATTCCGAGGTTCCGAAATTCCGAAATTTTTAAAATCGGAATTTTCGACATTCCGAAAAATTTCGAAAAAGTCTTCCGAACATCCGAACATAGAAACATATGTTTCAGCCAAAAATGTGAAAAAATTGAATGTAAAAAACTTTTGACACAAAAGTATCACCAGAAGAAAGGAAATATATTCTTCTTTAAAGGTATTCAGGGTATTTTTTGGGATTTTTCATCCTTCCGAAAGTTTATTTTTGGAATTCTGTGTTTTGCTTTTATTGTTTAGCTTATCTTCATTGAAAATTTTGAATTTCAATTTTGATTTTCAATTTATTATTTCCAAAGTAGCATCAAGGGTTTGTTACACATTCAGGGATCTTTGTTTTTAGGTTTCCGCCGGTTGAGGGTGCTGAGCTTATTTCTGTTTAGAATCTTCAACATTTTAACCCGTTTTTGTCTTAGCCTATTTTATGTCGGTGCTTGGCACTAAAGAGTTTTTTCTGAATTGAAATTATAAAATTATACGATAATATACTTCAGGAAGAACTGGGTATCAAAAACCGAAAAAAAAACCCGAAGAATACTATTCAAGTGCTGAAAATACTATTGAGGGCTGGGTGTTTCACGGGTAATATAAGCTCGGGGGGTAAATCTTCATATCCTTTTTTCTTTGGAGGGGAATAAATTTGAATCCACTCCATATTGCTTCCGACGAACGACTGCAGATCTACGTTTCTTTTTTTTAATGTCACGTAAAAAATATTTTGGCTATGAAAATCAGCTAATTTTTCAAAAATCCTACATAGTCACGTGATTTGATGAAAAAACCCCCATGCCCCCTTTCGTAGATTTACAGGCGTCTTTTAAGTTGCTATTTTTGTTGTATTTAATACTGATTCGACTTTTGGGGTACTTCCTCTCTATCTTTTGAGGGGAATAAATTCACTATAATTCGCATCATGCGAATACTGTGGATCCACGTTTCTCATTTTTTATTGGCTCTTATTTCTTTGAAATGTCACGGAAAAAACTGTGTGAAACAATTTCCGAAAAAAGCTCAGCGTAAAAAGTGCCCCCTGGTGTGTAGATACGATTAGGTCGCCCGGGGTAGGAAGGCTGGTGACATGAATGCTTTTCTATAAGTGACACTTATAGTTTACTTATTAAGTGTACTTCTGTACGAACTATTTCAGGAAACTGGGGAACTGGTTCTGGAAAAAAGAAAAATGCATTCACTTCATCACAACCGGTGTCGTCATCCGATCGTCCCGTCCCAAGTTCTACACAGAGACCAGCTGCGAGAAATTTAGCCAACTCTCTCCAATCGGATTTTTTCACTAATCGGACAACAACCTCTTCTTTCGCTACTCCTGCAACATTTTATTCGCAGCCGGTTCACAATCCATACTCAAGACCCATCTCGAGCGCCAGTTCTGTCAGTTCCTCGATTAGTTCCGCTTTGAGCTCTCTCAATGACGACTCGCCATTCTTCAACTTTTCTCAGGTTTTAGAAAATTATATGTTCACAATGAAAATGTTATGTTTTCAGAGCTCCCGTTGTTCTTCATACATGTCTTCGCCTAGATCCGATCTAATAAGATCACCATACTCGGGATCTCAAGTTTCGGATGGATCGTCATATGCGAATTTGGTCAGTCATTCTCAAGGGAATTCGTCTCAGCATTCGTCAGATCCGTTCACACAATTCTCTCCACCTGTTACAACATATAACAAGTGCGTTCAAACGGACGGAAGTATGATTGATAACCTCGCAAAAGATCCAATTTTTATTGGAAAGTTTTTGGAGAGAATGGTGAAGAGTTCGAAGCACGTTAATTTAGTTAGAGCTATGAGAGAACAGATTCGAAAGCTACCACCAGGAAAACTTGCGGATTTCAGCGAGGTAATTATATTTATTGATTGCAAATTTGAATACTCCATTTCAGAAGACTAAACAAACAAGTTCCAAAGATTCAGCTCTCAGTTCTAGCATCCAGCCATCTATGCATCATGAAAAATCAGATCTGGAATATGACGTCTTCGAGAATGCGTGAAAATTACATAATCACAAAACAAATTCTATTGTCATCATGTAACATTTATCTCATGTGTTTTGATAATTTTTTCTTTGTTTTCTAATAAATATGTTACGAAATTCGAGTGATTCATTGTCAGATGATTGCCCTGCTAGCCGCAAAATTCTGAAAGTTTCACGTCATCAGTGACTGTCTGAGGGTCACCAGAGCTACGTAAGTGCTGGCTTTGCTGGACATTCCTTTACAATTCGAGATCCTAATTCACCATTTCGATTCGAATGATGGAGGTTGAAAAGGACGATAAAAAGAGAGAATCGAGTATAATCGATCATGTCATCTCATGGATTTGTAAGAGGAAATTAAGTAAACCGCTTTTCTAGAATATATTTTATTTTGTAGTATTTATCTATGCCGGTATTGTAACTTCATTCATCTCTCCCATCGTTCTCATCTGTCTTTTCTACTCGGCTTCTTTTTTGCTTATCAGTACCGAATGTCGGAAAATCGTGATGAGAATTCTAGCTCGTGCTTCAAATCTTCAATTTATCACTTGTGTCAGAATGGCTGGGATCAAAGGTACAGTATTATTCTGGTGCGAAAAAAATCGGATATGTGGAAGAGAAACGCAACTACTGTAATCTGAAAATATGATCATTTTCCGGATTTTTTTTCTCGATTTTTTTCAAAAAAATCGAGAAAAAAAAACGTTACGGTAGTTGTAAAAAAATGTTACGGTAGTTGTGGGACCTCTAGCCACGGCCACCGGCATTTCTCTTCCACAGTTCTACAGTTCTGATTTTTCGTACCAGAATAATAGAGTTTCTATTACTTTCCAAATCCCCATCTATTTCTAGTGATGATGTCCGGAGAGAATCTGGATCGTCTTGCCGATTGTCGTGCTCTGATGCTTCCAAACCATCTCAGTCTCTTCGATCATTTCATCTTCATGGCGGCTGCAGATTCATTTGGAATTAATGCAGTTGGACGGTGGATATTCGTCATTTACAATATGTGGATCTACACTCCACTTGGATGGTTGTGGAGTAGTTATGGAAACTATTTTATTGATTCTGTACCCATTCACAAACGAGAAGAGACGCTCAGTCATTTACGGTGAGCTCTGGTATCCACTGACACCGATCAATTTCATCCTTTCAGACGACATTTTGATCGTATCTACCATGAAGTTGATCTTCGATGGGTGTGTCTGTATCCAGAAGGTTCTCGTCTTTTCTTGATTCAAAAAAGAAATGCAGATTACGAGAAGAAAAAGAATCTTCCTGCCCTCCAACATTGCGCCTATCCACGACTTGGTGCTGCACTGAGTGCTATCAAAGTTCTAGGACCTGACCCAGCTGATTCATCAAAAGCGAACAATGGAAGAGGACCTCCACTGAAGTATTTGGTTGACGTCACACTTGGATATCCAGATGGAATCATTCTTCCAACTCACGAAGCATTCCTTTCTGCATGGTTGAACGGAGGTGGCAAGCCGTATGCAATTCACTATGAAACATTTGAGATGGATCCCAAATGGAGTGATGAAGAGGAACTTCGCAAATTCCTTTTTGATCGCTACCAGAAGAAAGACAAACTTCTGGACTCCTATTACAAAACTGGAAGTTTTGCTCCAGATGCCAAAGAGGCCCCACTCCCTTCCTACATGATTCTCATTGGATTCCAAATTCTACAACTGACTATTTTTGCTTTCGTCACCAAATTCTTTTTGTCTTTCATTTTCTAGGTCACATTAAATTGAATCCCAAATACGAATGAACATTTCTTATTGCAAAATTGCTAAAATAAATATTGCGTTGTCGTTAAAAAAATGAGGCGCAAACTAATCTTTATTGCAATTGGACGGATTACCCTTGAGCGAACAAACTACAAAAAGATCGATGTAAATGAGAATTTGTGTTTAACTGAAAGGAGTTGAAATTTGAAATTTACAAAAAAAGAACAAAGAAATGAGTTATTTTCTTTTCACATGCTCGTCTCCCGATACGGTTTGTGTCCGTCAGAAGACGTCGATGGAGTGTCATCATCTCCGATCATTGATGAGGAAGCTTCTGATTCTGCTGCTGAACTCTTTCTGTCTGCATCAATCTTCTTCCACTCTCCAGCCAAACGACGTCTTGAATTAGATTTTCATATTGTTTTTAGAATACCCTAAAACCTGTAATAGAAGGGACCTCTTACTTTTTACTTTCAGCCAACTTTTCTCGGTTCCTGTGAAAGAAATCCAATCAACTGGTAAATTGTTTATCATAAAGTCCCCACTATTTTATCAGTTGACACATTTATGATATCTTTTGTAGGAACCAAGATAATTGAGCTCAAAGAGAGCAATGTGGGCCCTTCTATTAGAGGTTTTGCGGTATCGTAGATGAACATGCAGAAGCAGCGAGTGATGTTCGTGCATAAGTGCTATAAATGCTTAATACGCTCTACTGATAACTGAGGGATTTTGTGTGCCACGTCACGGAGAAGAGAAGAAGAAGAAGAAGCAAAACGAAAACATCAAAACGATGTAATAACCTACTCATTGTCATCGTACCAGAAACATTCGAACTGATCGATAAAGTTTAGAATTTTCGATCTGTTAGATTAACCCGGTTATAGCAATTGAATCGAATCAGAGAATCAGTCAACCACTTACCTCAAGTCTTCATTATACATTGTTTTTGAGAGCTCTCCTTTTATGATATGAGCCTCGTCTCTCATCAATTGTTTCTCTTTTTTGATTTCTTCCAATAGCTTTTTGATGGTTTCCATGTTTTCTTCGTCATTGTCCATTCTCATAATGTCCTAAAAATTGAACTTCGATTGATAGAAAAGGTTGTTGTGCTATTATACTTGTATAAAAAGATGGAGCTGTGGAAGAGGAAACCTTGTGGGCGTGGCCAACGGTTCCCGTAGCGAAAACCACCGTAACCGAAAATTTTAGGTCTTTTTCTATGATTACTATTGCTTATCGACACTTTTTGTGTTGAAATCCTCCAAACAAGTGTAACATTTTTCTAAATCTAAAAAATGGCAAAAAAAGTAAAACATATTTGCTAACTACGGTAGTTCAGCCGTTGCCGCGCCCAACAGATTTTCTCTTCCAGAGCTCTGGATTTCGTACACCAGCATAATAAATTGTCAAGTGTTCGGAATTGAAGTTTTGAGCAATACAATTCATATATCGAAAATCAAAATTTCAGATCATTAACCTAAAACGTACCTCCAACTCGTTGACTTTTTTTCTCAACGAATGTGTCATTTTCCTTAAATGATCATATCGCTTGTCGAGGTACGAAAGTCGCTCTTGGAACTGAAATTCAGGAAATTGGTATGGTTTTTTTTCTCGAAATTAGCTTGTTCTAGTCCTACAGTGAACTCAATCAAACTCCTTGCAGTTCGCATATTACCTGCTGAGTGCTAACACGAATATTTGCTTTACAAAATGATGGTTTTCCGCGTATCAATGCATGAATTTCATTGTCTTCAGTGGGAGCGTATTGAACGACTTCATGTTGATAGGACATACTTGAAAACTGACGAGAGAAACAAAATAAAATGAAGAAGAGCACAAAAAAGAAGAAGGAACAATTGAATCGAGAAGTAACGAACATGATGTTTTGGTCATTCAATTGTAGAGCAGAATAGAGAGAAAAAATGAGAAATTTAGGCGAAAAGGTATCAAAGGTTCAGGAAAGAAACTTCCGTAACTGGCTGTCTTACAACCCCCATACTGGAATACTATCAAGGCTGAAACACCAATATTGCAAAAAATCTATAAATCCCTAAACAGCCTTTCAAAATTTTCAGATAACAAAATTAAGCAAGAATGGTCCAGAAATTTTGAGAGGAATTTTTTACAAATGAAGTTCAATTCTGAACAATTATGTCTTCACCAGCATATCTATGCCTCTCCGAGGCTGAACCTCCTGGCCTCCGCCTACAGTACCCTTATAGTCTTATGAAGGGGGTTTGTCACTATTGTTCAGAGCCTATTTTTTATGGTCTAAACAGTATAAAGTTTAGAAATTCAGAGTTACAGGAATTCCTAATTCGGAAACTCAGAATTTCGGTGATTTTGGAATTTAACATAATATTATCATAAGTTAAGTCTTTCCGAATTTTGAGAATTTTAATTAATTTCGAAAGTGTATTCGAAATTCAATAACTTTGAGTTTGAAATTCAGAAATGCTTTTCAATTTTTCAAAATTCCGAAATTTTGAAACTTGGATTGTCGGATATCAGAAAATTCAGAATTTAGGAGTTGAAAAATTAAGAAAGTCCAAATGATTGAGACAAATGAGAGAAATTGAAATTCGAAATTTCAGAAATTCGTTTTACTTAATATTTGAAATAAATAGAATAAAACAGATGTCCTTTAAACATGAAAGTTGAAAATTCGGAAATCAGCTCAACTGATTTATGCGAAAAAGAAGGAGGCAAAGAGCAGACAAAAATAGAGAGAAAACCCGGGTTGTGTCCCAATTTGTTTCTTTTCAAGTTTTTTCTCCTTATTTTTTTCTTTGTCGCCATGTTTTGATGTATCATGTTTTTGCATTCTCCATTCTTTTTTCGCTGTTTTTTTTAAAGAATCAACACAGAGAAACACAGGAAACAATTTTTGGGAAAAAGACAAGGAAGGTGAATCGAAAATGAAACTGATTCTGTCAAAAAATGTGTGAAATCGGAGAGAAATGGAATCCTCCCAGACATTTGTTTGTTCCAGAAGAGATTAGCCATTTCGTGTAAACTTTCAGAAATAGATGTATGTTTTCTGAAAAATATGAAGGCACGAAGCAAAGAAGAAGAAGAAGAAGGACCAAAAATGAAAGAAAATGAGAAAATGGGTGGTAACGTGAGTAGGGGTTTAGAAAGTTGATGAAGTGAACTGTCCTCAGAAGACTTGAACAATGTCTGAAGACAAAGATCTGCTGATCACTGTACTTTGACTCAAAAGAGTTCCTTCGTCTAACTGGGCTATGAAAGATACAAACTTGCTCTCAAAACCCTAGTAGATAAAGAAAGCCATACAGTAGGAAATCTAGACATCTTCTTCTTCTTCTTATTCATCCGAACCGACCCGCCTACCACTGAATGAAAGTGAATACCAAAAAAAATAGCTTAAGAAATCTCATTGAGTCTGACGACGCCGTCGTTGTGTTCAACGAGCACATCCGCTGTCGATGTGTGATTAGCATACGCGTGGCAGAATGCCTTTTCTTTCTCCTAGAACAGTATGTCACATACCACTCCCAGGGGCTCAATTCCTCATTCTCCGCTATTTTTCTGCTCAAAAGAATGTCAACCAAAAATAACGGGCGGTGTCGGTGAAGAAAAAAAAAACATAACAATGACAAACATGAGCATTTACTGTGATGGAAGATTCCCTCTGTAATCTAACACTTCCGTTCTGTCTTCTCAAATAAAAATTACCACTGTAGTGTTTTCAAGGTTTTAGATTTCCGTCAACTGACAAACAAAAATTATAAAAAAGCATAGGTCCCACCGAGATTTGAACTCGGGTCGCAGGATTCAGAGTCCTGAGTGCTAACCGCTACACCATGGAACCAACGGAAACCTAGCCTACTTTTATGTTTACCCACTCGGTGGGGTAGCGTAGCAGCCGGTTCTGGCCGGTCGCGTGCTATTGAAAAAAGAAAAAAAGAACGCCTAAAAACTCTCTTCCCACAAAAAAATCCGAGAATTAAACCTATGAAAATTTGTAGTCTAAACATTCCGAATGTTTACAATGTACGACCCCGATACATTTGTTAATAACATTGAAAAAAAGGCATAGGTTCCACCGAGATTTGAACTCGGGTCGCAGGATTCAAAGTCCTGAGTGCTAACCGCTACACCATGGAACCGACATTTCAATCATGACTCTCGTGCGTATAGGTGGCGGTTGTCTGTGTTGCAGTGGTATGACACAGACAGGAATTAGTGAGGAAAATATGTATCTTGCGAAATGCAGAGGGTTTGATTAGTGAGTTACTTGATTTGGACTGCCATATTTAAGACTCTGTGAATCAAATAGTGGCTTACCTCTGGCATTTTGAATTGGACCTCAATGATTTCTCGAGTTTCACTTTAGGCGTTGTTAGTAGACAGTGTAGTTCATCAGATGGAAGCGTCTGGAAAAAATAATTCATTAGAAAGTGGAATTCGGTTGGAAAAAATCATGAGTTCATGAAGAAAAGGTCTCTATTTTGTTTGCAAGCAGTCGGACGCAAACTGGGATCACCGTCTAAATTTTTGAGGACCCTCTTTCCACAGACGATACATGCCAATGGGGAGAAAAAGAGAGATTAGTCAACAATCATCGTCAGCTGTTCATCTCAATTTAAACGGAGGAAACATGAGAGAAAGCTTGAGCTAGAAAAAGAAAATTATGACACTCTCCGTCATCATTGTTTATGGCCGTAAGGATTGGAAGGACTCGATCAAAGAACATCAGGAGGAGCTAAACCCGAAAGGGCTAATGAGAGGTGGGTGGAAGTGAAACGACTTTCTAATAAGGCAGGATTTGAACCAACAATATTCCCTGGAGGCTTCTCGTACCTACCGTAAAACCTGGATTAGAAGAGTTCTTTTAATAGAAGCGTGTTCAGGTGATTCAGGTGATTCGCGAACAATCCGTTACGGATTCTCCGCCATTCGCGCGCGGATGAAATAGGAATCGTATACGGACCGTACGCGAATCCGTAACGGATCCGTTTCCGACTCATTCTTTGAAAACCCCCGCCGCTCCTTTTTTCAGTTTCTCTTAATTTTTGCTGAGTTTTCATGATAGTTGTAGACTTAGTATTCGGAACTTTATTAAGAAAAAATATAAGAAACAACAATCAAACGTACAAGAAAGTTCGAGAAACTATGAAAATCCTTTTTTTTTGTTGAACGACCAACCGGAACCAGAGCAATCTGAAAAAAAAGCGGGAAATTTTCCGAAAATGCAGCATACTGTTTACCTATTAGTTATATTTTTTGTTTTCCGGGTTTTGAAAATTGTCTCATTTCCAACGTTTTAGTCGGTAGATGTTTAGTAGATGCCCATCGCTGAAAATTTGAAAAGTCACTATTTCGAAAACTAATGTGGTTTGCACTTACCTTAAGCTAGCAACTTGCTTTCTGCAAAAGTGAGCATCAAAACAATATTTTTTGTTCCTTTTGCTCACGGAGAGGTTAAGTGATACCTATAACAAACCCTATGTTTCGAAGAATTACCTTTGTGTTACAAACCTTTTTTCATCGTAGAATCGCCTTTCGAAAATTTTGATAGACAGAAATCGGCACAATTGCCGAGAAAAGTTGGAAAAAACGGCAAAAATAGATTAAAAATACAAAAAAAAGATGCAAAAATATGATGGAAGAGTTAAGAGAAAGCTAGTCCCTCACAACTCGGCCATCCGGAACGGATCCGTTCGCGAATGGGCATGGGAGCTATCTCTCGACCTCCAGCTGCATCCGTATCCGGTCCGTTCGCAAACTCCGTATCCTGTCCGATTGCGAATGTTGAAAAAACGGATCCGTTCGCGAACTCAGTTTCGCGAAACTGCCCGTAACGGACCCGTTACGGATAGAAAACCTAGTGGACACCGAAACGGATCCGTTCGCATTTTACCTCTGCAGAGAGAGGCTTGGAAAAATATAAGTGTCCTCAATCAAAAAGCGTTGTTCGAATGGAAAAACTTCTGTACTTTTTCAGTGAAAGTATTCCGGAAATTCCACATATTCACAGAAAATTGTTGAAACACTGCTTTTTGCTCAAAAACTTGCTCAAGTTTAGTGAAATTAATTGATTTTCATGAATTTTGAACAAGAATTCACCTAATTTGTAAATTTTCGGAAAAAAATTTATGGAAAAATACAAGAGAACCCTCTTATTGAAGCGAACTCCGGGGGTACCTTGGATCCATAGAAGGACCGGCCCTTCTAATACAGGTTTTACGGTATACCAGGTTTGGAACTCCATCCCCATTGTAATTATGAGAGATACCGTAAAACCTGTAATAGAAGGACCGGAAACTGTAAAGTTTGAGCTGACGAACGAACAATTTAGCAGTAGACAACTTTTTTATATCTTTGACGGGAACCGAGATAAATTAACTAAAAGTTAAAAGTTAAAGCGTCCTTCTATTACAGGTTTACGGGTTCAACAAATGAATGACTGATGTCTTTTGGTCGTTATATTGAAACTGACATTTGTCTAATTAACATCCCAATCAGTTTGAAAATTAGCAATTTTTCTGCAACTGTTACAGTAACCAAGAGAAGGACTAAAGTAGGGAAAGTGGAGGGCTGATATAAGAAGAAATACAGTGCCTGACAATTTAAATACCAACAATAGAAATGCAGAAGTTCAAGAAGAAGAGGGTGGTAACAAAATCTTTGAATTTTGAAACATCCTAAAGAAAGAAAATCTAATTTCGTGTGAGAAGAGAGTAGCAGCTCAAGAGTCATTAGAGTGGGAGAATCTTAATGCTCTGAGAGCTCTAATGAGTTGCAGGAGAAGAAGGAGTAGAGAGC